CTTGGATCTCTGCCAGTTCTTCAGCGAAGCATCTAGCTTGACAGTCTTTCAGTACCTTCGTCTCTGCTTGCTTTAGTTCCTCTGCTGACAGAGGTCCTGCGCGTCTCCGGTCTGCTCGTTCCTGACAGGACTTTGGGGCACAGTTCTTCACAAACCTCAGTACCCATGCCACGGTTCTTCTGTACTTCGTCCACGAAGAGAATCTCGAAGCGTCGGGAAGCACCGTAGTATCAGAGTCATGCTTCACAGTGAGCATGACTGATTCCGTCCTCACTTCTGGGTCGTTTTTCAGTACAGCCGTACTCGTGAGAGATGGCTGTTCCGGCCAGCAGTTCTCCTCCTGGAGCAGGAACCCAGGACCCGCGCTCCAGCGAGAATCTGATGACAGGTCAGACAACGTAGCTCCCCTGGAAACAACGTCAGCTGCGTTCAGACTCGACGGCACGTGTCGCCACTGATCAGGGCAAGAAGACTCTCGAATTTCTGCCACCCTATTAGCGACAAATGTGTGAAAGCGGCGGCTGTCATTTTTCACATACTGTAGAACAACTGTGCTGTCGGTCCAGAATAGGACCCTATCCACCCTGACCGACAGCTCCGTCCGTAGCACGTTTGCTACTCTGACGCCCAGCACAGCCGCTTGCAACTCCAGCCTTACAATTGAAATCTGCTTGAGGGGTGCCACCCTGGTCTTCGCCATAGCCAAGGAGCAGACGCGGCGACCATCAGGCATCGTCGTAGCGACGTACGCGGCAGCACCGAAGGCATCCTGAGAAACATCACAGAAGATGTGAAGCTCTCTCCGACAGCCGTCACTTGCCGACACGCCTCCGAAGCATCGCGGGACGGTTACCCGCTCCAGATAGTGTAACTCCGAGAGCCACTGAGACCACCTCTGCAGCTCCGTCCCCTCGAGCTCATCGTCCCAGTCGTAGTTCCCCGCCCAGAGGCGTTGAATGAGAACTTTAGCCTGGAGAGAGAACGGAGCGACTAGCCCCAGAGGGTCGAATAGTCGAGCTACTCCTTGCACTACTCCTCTCTTCGTTGACGGTACACGTGAGTCAACAGCTCTGACTCCCAAGGTGTCGTTGATGGTGTTCCAGGCGCAGCCTAGCACACTCTGAACCGCGACATCGATGTCTTGAACGCGCTCTGCGGCTTCGATCCGTTCCAAGACCTTCCGCGAGCTGCTCATCCACTTTGTCAGCCTGAACCCCCCTCTTCTGAGAAGTTCTGTCACCTCGGTTTGCATCTCAGCTGCCTCTTCTTCGGTTCTCGTAGCGTGGATGAAGTCATCCATATAGAAGCTCGTAAGTGCCGCTTCTCTAGCTGCTCTCCCTGCCGGGGTGCTACTGCTGCAGTCCTTAGCGGTCTGCTGCAGGACGAAGTTTGCTGATGCGGGACTGCTCCTGGCCCCGAAGATCGCGACCTGCATGGTGTATGGTTCTGGTTGCTTCGTTGCATCCAAATCTCTCCAGAGGAACCTCAGTGCTGGTTGATCTTGCGGAGTTATCTGGACCTGGTGGTACATACACTCGATATCAGCGGTCAGAGCGACGGGTTCCTCTCTGAACCTCAGGAGGATGCCGGGCAGATTCTTAAGAAGGTCAGGTCCCGTGAGCAGCACATCATTCAGAGAAGTGTTGCCACACTTGGCAGCCGCATCAAACACTACTCTGAGCTTCCCTGGCTTCCGGGGGTTCGTTACACCATGATGTGGCAGGTACCACTTCTTGATCTTCTTCTGGGGTTAGCTTGCGAGCGAATCCGCGCTCGACGTAACCCTCGACAACCTTCTTATAAGCTTCCGCTTTCTCAGATTGTCGCATCAGGGTCTTCTCCAGGGAGTACAGCCGGTTGGCCGCCATCATCTTGTTATCAGGTAGGCACACATCATCACTCATCCACAGGAGTCCCGTCTCGTAGCGATTGTCCAGTCTCCTGGTTGTGTCTTCCATGATCTTCACGGCTCTGACGTCTTGGGGAGATTTGGCATCCTGGCCTTCAAACCTGCTCCCAAACGATTCCGTGCTCCACCACTCCTGGAGTGCTGCTGACAGTTGATCGTCTGGAGCCATCTTCCTGATCAGCATCACCTGGCGCGTTCGTTCTGGCAGGAATCCCTTCACCGTGCCCGTCAGCGTCCACCCGAAGGCGGTTCTGATGGCCACCGGTTGGCCCGCCTTCCCTGTCCTCGCTTCCAGCTGAAGCACCGCTTCAAGGACGTTGGCGCCGAGAAGAAGATCGACCCTCTTCCCTGAGCAGTCTGGAAGGTCGAGGTCCAGCAGGTGCTTCCATTCGATCCTCTTGTCAGGGAGCTCTGGAACCGTGACGTTGATGTCCCTGACGGAGAAAACTTCAGGGACCACTATTCTTGATCCGTCGCCACCTGACGCCTTGAGCTCCAGTTTCATCTTCACGGAGTTCTGGAGGCGCCCGCATCCTTCCACGTTTTGCAGGCGGAGGGTTTGTGGCTCCCCTTGAAGATTCAGCTGTGTCATTACCTCCTCGGACACCAGTGAAGTCTGAGAGCCAGGGTCTAGTAGAGCCCAGACCTGCTTTTCCTTGCCACCACTGGCAAGGACGGTGACTGGTACGACCTGCAGCAGGGTTGTGGTCGCGCCCGCCTTCACTGATGCTGCTGCTACCACGCGCTGGCCAGTGTTCCTGAGGTCGACCCTCTTGCTGCCATGGAGCACCTGATGATGTCTCATCTTGCAGCTGTCGATGCCGCACGGCCTTGCCGAGCGACAGTGCCGAACGCCATGTCCAGCCTTCAGACAGAAGAAACAGCACCTCGCACTGGCGATGAAGTGGGCTCTTTCATCAACCGATTTCTTCAAGAAGATCGGACACGTTGTCACCTCATGCTGCTCCTTGCAGCATACACAAGTCGTGCCTGATGTATCAATCTCTGTGGCCAGAGCACTTCTTTGGACGGGCCTCGGCTTCACGTCGCCCTTCCACCGCTGAGGCTGTCCTGCCGGCTTCTTGCCAGTCGCCATATTCTGATGTGGAGACACGGCAGCGTAGTTGAGGGCCACCCTGACCTGCCTGCGAAGCCATTCGTCAAAGTGCACCAGTGTCGGCCTCTCTCCCAGGTTCAAGACATATTCTCCCCATAGACGTTTCATCTCAGATGGGAGCCTTTGAACAACTCGTCTGAGGTTCTCGAAACTATTCAGATCCCCATCGTAGCCGAGACTCCTGAATATCATGACAGCACAGTGGACTGATGCGTGCAGGCGCTCTAGTCCAACAGGATCTAGTTGGGAGGGCGCAGGGCAGGAGAAGATCTCTTGCAGGTACGCGTGTACGACATCTTCCTGGCGGCCAAACCTGTCCTGCAGAGCATGCACCGCCTCTTCATATAGGGCCCCATCAAACATCATCCCACTGATGGTGAGCTTAGCAGTACCCACCACTGATGCTTGCAGGTGTATCAGTTTTTCTGTTGGGGAGAGTGAGATCTGTTCATGTACTAAAACTTTAAAAGAAGCCCACCACTTCGGCCACTCGGCCGGCTCGCCGCCGAACTTCGGCAGAGTCAAGCGCGGAAGACTATTGTGCAGCAGCGATGGAACACAGGGCGCCCCTTGGGCGACTGCATCACTGGCTGTGGGTCGAAACTGACCGGCTAGTTCAGTAGTGGGTGCCCCTCGGGCAGCTCCAACAGCCGGTGGGGGAACATGACTGTAATAGAACAAATCAGGTGTGTCGGCGCCGAGTGCCCCTTGGGCAGCTCCAACGGCCGGTGAGATGGTGTGGCTGGGACGCGACGAACCGGCTTCTTCAACAGTGGCTACCCCTTGGACAGCTCCAACGGCTGGTGAGATGGTGTGGCTGGGACGAGACGGACCGGCTACTTCAACAGTGGCTACCCCTTGGACAGCTCCGACGGCCGGTGAGATGGTGTGGCTGGGACGAGACGGACCGGCTACTTCAACAGTGGCTACCCCTTGGAGAGCTCCAACGGCCGGTGAGATGGTGTGGCTGGGACGAGACGGACCGGCTGCTTCAACAGTGGCTGCCCCTTGGACAGCTCGTGCAGCTGGTGGGATGGCTCGGCTGAGATGAGTCGAACCAGCTTCTTCACTAGGTGCCCCTTGGGCTTCACAGACCTTGGTCTCACCACAGAAATCATTTCTTCGGTCCCACGCTAGGTCATCTTCAGCTGCTCTTGCCAACTGTGCACGCAGCTCGGCAGCTGCATGAGCATCCTTTGCTTCTTGTAGCTTCATCTTCCTCTGGATCTGTTGCTCTTCCTTCTCCGTCTCAAGCCTTTGCTGCAGCTGCTCCAGCTCTAGCTGCTTCACCTTGGCCTCTATCTCTGCCAGCCGGGATGCTGACGTCTTGTCTGATGCTGCAGAGTCTGACGCCTGCTTTGATGTAACTGATGGTGGATCGTCCTTCCTCTCCTTCAAATGCGCTTCAATCCGGCTCACCGCTTCTTCATGCTGCCTGTCTGCTTCTACTTGATACACTCTTGCCTGATCAACTTCCTCTTGAGATGTCAGCACAGAAACTAAACTATCTGTCATCTCCTCCAACTGCTCGAGTGCCTGATCAAGCTCATGGACGATTGACGCTAGCTGAGTCCGACTACCTCTGGTATCAATCAAGACGAAAGCCCTCCTCCTGACCCTGGTCAGTGCAGCTAACAATCTGCCTCGCTTCTGTTTCAATTGTGCTACAGACATGTTCTGGGTTTAACAGCACAACACCAATCAGGAACTGAGTCACAATTGCAATTCTCAGCAGCAGGTACAAAACTTCTCGCCACAAGAAACTGTCATTTACACGACCTACACCCTGAGAAGCCTCTTCGGGCGATCAAGACAGATCTTCAAATGAGATACACTCATAACATCATGTTCATCATGTTCGGAAAGTCCTTGGGCATTCTGACAAACTTTTGCATAGACCTACAACCATATCACTAGGCTGTGGAAACTTTGAAACTGTTGTGGGAAACGGTTAGGGCTTTGAGACACTACAAATAAAAACAAATAAATAATATATTCAGGCTTTCATGGCAAAAGGGTCATCTGGCAGCGTGCCAACGGCGAAAACGATATGGTAAGGCGAAGTTGTTTAGGTGAACAATTGGTGGTAGGAACGGACAAATAAGACAGCGGCATAGCGAAGAAATGCGGGCCGTAGATAGAAGTAGTAGCGGTGTAGTAACGTAGAACGTAGAATGTAGAATGTAGGTAGGTTTCTGAAATCAGCCAGAAACGCATTTTCACTCTCTATCCGATAGACATGGGTCTACCTATCGCCGAAATATCTCTAATATCATATCAGGCTCATATCACATTAACAATGCAATAGAAACGGCAAATAATATAAAATAATGAAAGAACATACCAAAGTTTTTCCACCGAATCACATTGTGGCGAACGGCGGCGCACAAACTCCATGCGTCTCACGCCGGCGCCACACAGCCAAAAAACGCCACGTCGATGGGCGGCGCACTGGACTTTCTGCGCCACCACTGGCTTAGGGTGGCGCCACCATCCAATGGTCAGTAGGGACATCGTCGCCACCTGTGTCCACAACTAGCGCCACCTGTCGAGCAAGGCACAGGCCAACCCGCTCCGGCTCAGTCCGCTACAACGAGTAATGCTTAAAACCGCATAACGATGCATGACAACGAATAACGAGGCTCGGGGCTCGTTGCCCGTTCACCCTTCACCGCCGCCCCGCTCGGGTCCGCTAGTAGTCATCATGCATGTCATTCATTGTTAAATGCAGCGGCCGGGTGGCTTCTTCACTATATTTGGCGGTCGTTTTTCATAAAATGCACCTGTTTGCGCCCCAGTTCGACGTTCCTCTACTTGAGATCCATCGTCCTACTTTCTCACACCAGTCTCTTATAGGGTAACACATAAAGATCCCACCCTCGCACCCATTTAATATTTCATACGAAGTCATCATTAGCGAGATGTCCTACAAAGCGTCGTTTCCGTCATTCGTACGACGTCTCTATCGGGATACAGCGTCCGTCCCTTTGGCCGCTCGGCCGGGGTGACGCCGGCGCCCCATCTCGCTTCCCGCACCGGTGCGCCGTGGCTCTGTAACGTCTCCTGCCGACATCCAGCCCCAGTCGGGTCGATGGCACAGGCTGAAATCGCTCACCAGGTCCACCGACCGGGATTAGACTGGCCAGATGGGAGCAACACCTTTCATTGGACTGCACCGATCGATCGGCTGACTCCGAGTCCGACATCGACTCGGAGTCTGAGTCGGTCGGACTCGGTCGGGCGGGTCGGCCGCCGTAACGATCGCGTGTGGGCCGCGCCGCCGGAGGTCGCGGGCGGCTGGGCGACCGGCGGCCGGCAGTCGGTGCTCCGGCGTCCGACTGAGCGGCGGTGGCGGGGCAGGTGCGGCCGGGCTCGGCAGGTGGATATCTAGAGGTGGTAGGTGAAACTTCTAGGATCTAGGTGGTACAGGGTATAGGGACTTTGTGCTGCAGGTGGTTTTTAGTGGCAGGTGCAGTTTAGCTGCGGCAGGTGGTTTTTAGTGGCAGGTGCAGTTTAGCTGCGGCAGGTGGTTTTTAGTGACAGCTGGTGTTCAGGTGCGGCAGGTGGGAGCCAATGTCGGCGACTGGAGGTCAGACAGTGACATTCAGGGGCCATATGTTGTTAGAGCTCAAAAAGCGGGGGTCGGTCGACCTCTGCCGCAAGGGGAATCAAGTCATTAAATTCTTAACTTCCCAGTTCCTACCCTCTCCTCTATCTGACATTTGACCTCTGACCCCCGACCATTGACCTCTAATTTCTGACTGCCCTGATATTTGACCACCCTGTTTTGTCCGACAGGCGACCACGCGCTGATCGAGCTGAACAGTATCGCCGGCTTCCATCCGCGCCAGGTCACCGTTCGCACCAAGTCGCGTGACCTGGTGTCGGCCGACTCGGTGCCCTGTCCGATCCCGCAGCGGGCTCAGCGCAAGGTGAGAGCCGGAGAGCGGAGAGGGAAGAATGGAGAGGGAGTGATGAGCACGTCTGGTTTATTTCGAATAACTACTGATCTTGCATGGTGTGGTCTGGGTCTTCTGGCAGTGTGTCGGTCTCCTAAGTTTTATCTCCATAAGGGGGATGCAGGATATTGATAAAAACACAAATCGGTGTGTTGATTTAAGTTTTACTATGGTACAAACACTACTGTCCTATTGCTATCCTTAAGAATCTTGCCGCCGCGATCAAAACCATCACCTCACTAATATCCTGATACGTTGCCGTCTCATTCCATCGGGTGTCCGTGTGACGGCTGTCAGCCTGACTGCTCGCTGTCGGGCTGTTGAATCCCACTGACGCCACGTGTCTGGGGCGCCGTTTCCGACGGCAGCTAATTAGGGTAATAAGCGGCCGGGTTGCCGGGCGCCGGGCGTCGCCTCGTGCCGAGGGTGGGTGACGGTGAGCCGGTGCCTGCCGGAGGTGATCCCGGAGCCGGATCTAGTTCATACGGCTGGGCGCACCACGCGGAACGCTGGGAGCAATAAGGATCTCCCCGGAGGTCCTTCAACGCAACACCCCCAGCTCCGTTCGCTGAAGACTATATCGCGAGGTTAATATGCGGTGACCTGAATAATGAGTACTGGCCACTGGGTACCTATTCAACAGTCTTTTGCTGTTTAGTACTTCCGAAAACAGTTTCTGACTTAGCCCCAGATGTATTCATATGTTCATAGTTACCTACTTTTCTACAGAGGTTATCGCAGAATCGCATGGTTAGCTCTGTGTAGAATTCACATTTGTATATACCTACATTTTTAGACTGTTTCGTTTTGTTGTCATTTGAGTTTGTATGTTGTTTGTTTGTTTGGTTGTTTGTTTGATTATTGATTGTCATTTACGCAGCATACCACCGACTGGTGCTGTTTGTTGGCCTCAGACCGTTTTGAGCAGTGCCTGTTTCGTTCGAACTGCATGCGTGTTCCGTGCGTGTGTAGCCGCGTGTGTCTGAGCAGTGGCATGTCTGTGGTGGCCACTCGCAGAGCGGTTCGGAGCCGGGCACCGACCCGGCGGACGGCGGAGGCGGCGACCCGGGCCAGCCGCCGCCGGCGCCGCCCGACCCCGAGCTGTACAACATCCTGGCCAACACGGCCGAGGCGCTGCCGCCGCCGCCGCCCGCCTACTCCAGCCAGGTATATACACTCGCCCGTACATACGCTGAGAACACTACGCTCCAGTCAGGTTCACACTACACAGTACACAGTCAGGTACAGTATACAGGGCTATGAGTACACTCAGTGGTACACCCCGAGTACAATGACCCACGGCTAAATTGTAAACACCCCCGGAAACTGTGGCTTCTTAGTACAGCTATGCGTAGCATATGGTATTTGATGCACGCTACTTTGGCAGGAAGATTTATTCTGAGAAGAAAAAAATTGTTTCGTTCAGGCATGGCCACACCTGTATGACCGTAAAACTAGGATGGGTACACGGCTTATAAATGTCGCACAATATTTGCAATGAACAGTTTAAAGTGCAACAAACTGGTCGATCTAACACGTGTGCATTTTTTGTTTGTTTTACAATGGGCCTAGATTATAACAATTACTATCAAAAATTATGTAATTTAGGTAAGCTGAAAGTATACAGATATCTCCGAACAATTCCCAGCATGTGATTGGCCCCAGGCTTCGCCGATTTAGTTACCTATGCTTGATAATTTTCAATTTTGTTGCTTTACTTTTATCAATGCTGCTTGCATGTTACGTCAGCCCACATTTTGCCTTGTTTTGTGCTGTCTTTTGTTGTGTTCGCTAGCGTTCGTCCCTTTTTGTTGGTCTCATGTTGTGATTAGTTTTGTCCGGGTGTTGTATTTTGTTTTGCCGCGCCTGACCCCGTTCCCGCCCGGACCACACACAGTTCGCCGAGTATGAAACTGACGAGCTCTCCGACATACCTGAGGAGGCCGAAAACGAGCTCTCCGACTCGGTAAGAACACGATCCAAACACCTCACTCTACGGAACGAGCAGTCGCTAATCGACGACTGTTTACAACGCAAGACCGCCCTACATTAACCCTCGCCGGCCGAGGGGGGGGGGGGGGGGGGCGGGTGCCGCCCCCCATAGGGTTTTTTCGCGATAGCTCCAAACACGCTGGCGATAGAGAGCTGAAACTTGGCATACCTGACCTTTGATCCAAGCCGCATCTTTTGACACCAACCGCATTTTTGGGTCAGGTCAGGTCACTGACCTATGACGTCATAAGTGAACCTCTGCACGGTCTTCAGATGTCGCAACTTCGCAACGCCCTCACTGCCAGAGGAGATGTCACAGGGAAATGAAACTTGCAGGATCTAGTATCCATTATGAGTCCCACAACTTGTATATCTCGGATTTTTCCTAAAGGTCATATGAGGTCAGGTCATTTTCGTGACCTCACCATTATACAGGGTGTCTCAAAAGTTCGTTCACACATTTCCCATGCCAATAAAGCTTATAAGAACCGGCCATAAGTATAAGGTTTTGGTGTCTGTGTGTACACTAGACAAATATGCATGCTTTGACAACTGATTAAGAAGGTTGGAAACCAACCCCTTTGCTGTATCTCCAAAAATATTTGCCCATACCGATTTTTGTTGCTCCGTCAGCTGCCGGAGGCTGATAAAAGCTTACCAGCTTTCAAGCTCTTGCAGGGGAATCCCCTGCAGTTTCTGCGTCGGATTTAGTTTTGACTAGCTCCCCGGCAACATCTGATTTTCCCTGAAAGCCGACAGCTTGCATTGACACCACTTTTGAGTATTTTGTAGGCATTCTCTGGCGCTAACTCCTTCATGAATGACTGGCGCCGACATCCCAAGCGCCATTTTCCTTTTCAAAACGACCCCAGTCTTGAACAAACGGGAAGTGCCAGGAGTAAATTTTTCGCATCATATGGTGGCAGAATGTGTCGGACGTCTGTTTCTCAGACACATTGTGCAAATTTTGCAAATTCCAAGCGCTCGTCATTCCCCATGCCAAGACCTTCGCTCGGTTGCGGAGTGTTTTCCTCGGGAGATGTTCTGCTTTGTAAACGGCCCAAACCTGTCCATCGTGTGGTTTTATCGGGATTTTGTGTTTAAAAGAAAATTATTCGCTGCAGATCTGCCTCTTGAAACTTCGTTAGATAAAATTTTACAATAACTGACACTTTTGGAGGGTCAGGTGTCCTTGGCATTGACGATTTTTGTGTTATTGGCCCCAAAAATTAGCGTTATAGATATTATAAACAATTTTAAATTATAATTTGTCTTTATTTTACGATGACTTACACTTTTTGAAAATGGGTAACCTCTGTCTGTGACCTTCTTGCCAGTTTTCAATAGTTATGACCGCATTTTCAGCTGCTTTCCGGAACGCGAGTCTGCTGTCGTGCGAGGGTCGTTCAAAACGCCGTTAGTCTCGCATGGTTTCGTCCTTCAAAAATTTTAGCCACCGTTTTTATGAGATGATCATCATGTTGCACTCATCCTCGCCGACACTTAGCCATGTGTCATTTCCGACTTAACCATTCCCATTACTCCTGAAGCAGAGAGTTTCACAACATACCCGACTTTGCAACCTACATTTCCGTGCCTGACCCATGGTCAGAGGTGAACCCTTTTTGTGAGCTCATGAAGGGTCGAATGCACTTGAAAACAATGAGACTGCTTGAGGAAGGTTGTCACCAATGCCCATGCAAAATTTCGACTGTTAATTTCTTGTTGATTCAGAATTATTGACAAAAAAGCATGGCTGGTACCTGTGAACGAACTTTTGAGACACCCTGTAAGTCAATGGGGAAAAATGAAAACTGCTATTCTGGCGCCGGGAACGATCTCCAACTATCTCAAGCACACAGAATCGTGATTTTATGCACTCCTTGCAAGGTTAGATGCGTCACTTTTGCAATGTTGACCTTGCGTGACGTCATTTATGACGTCATCAAGGTCATATTAGTTTTTCGTCAATAACTCTTGATCAAATTGAGCTAGCGAGTCGGGAAAGCCACCTATGGACTCAGGAAGACCTTTCGAATCGAATGATATGCGACATGACCCTTTTCGACCAACTTCGTGACCTGGGGGTGCTGACCTGACCTTGACCTGAGGTCAACACCCCAAGTTGACCTGACCCGGACAAAAAGTATATCATTCGACGCGCCTGAGCGAGACGAACACGATGCTGCCAAAATCGGCGCTCTGCGGCCGTTTTTTGCGAAGTTATTCACCAAAAACTGAACCGTACCTTGGGGCACTTGACCTGACCTCAGAGGTCACCGGTTGACCTAGGACCTTAAAATCGGGTACCAATCTCTGCGTCTCGTAACGGCGCACACGCTCGTTTTTTCCGCGACGCGCTAGCTCCACCAGGGGCGAAACGGCGAGGGGGGGGTCGTACCCGCCCCCCCCCCCTCGGCCGGCGCGTATGTAGAAAACCAATAGGTCCGGCGAGGGTTAAATTGAATTTCGTTCATAATGTACAGCTCTGTTGTCTCTTGCCTTGAAAATATTATTAATTGTTATGATGATGTTTTCCGTTACCATTTCGACTTACCGTAAATTGAGGTAATAAAAGTCATTCAGCAGGGCTATTGTTTGTAAATAACTATATCTGACTTTTATTATATTCCGACTGCGAATACCGTCAGACCGTGGTATGAGTACCAACAATTTAAAGACGAACATTTCCTTCTCAAAAGTGATCGGTTCGCTTGATGTTGCCATTTGAGAGCCGGTAGCTTTTATCAGTGTTCTGTTATGAGCCCATAAGTACGAAATATTGGTTGTTGGTTTATAACTGGTTCTTGGAGAGGCTGAGCTTCCAGCTGAGTGAGTTTGGCCATTACGACCCATCATTTGTAGCATAATCAAATATTAATTTGTTTTTGTTAAGGTGGCTTGCCATCAATTCACATCACCATAAAATTACATGGTCTTGGAAAAGCATATATGTGTTTTGTTCTCGCTAAGCTTTAGTCTATCAACGTACCATGATCAGGGAGTAGCCTCACCAGGGTGAGTAATGAAAATATTAGCAATTCCCGCTACTATGAATATGGTGGTTTTATGCAATACATAAACGCAAAAAAAAAAATACTTCGATCTCAACAAAGAATTGAAAAAGGATTTTCACGTAATCTGACGCATAATAACATCAGAACCCTGAAGTTTCATTGAAAGATGCCTATGTTATCCAAGATTACTTTTACTACTCATGTTATCACTCTGTTAACAAATTATTTTAACGCTTTATGGCTATTGGCCGGAGAGAATACCAGCACGGTACCCCCCAATCGCCTCTCATTGCTTGGGCGCATCGTTCAAATATTTGCCAACATACCCTCAGTATGCCTCAGTGCATATTTGCTGAGCAGTAACGAGTATCGAAGGGCGGCACAAATTACTCTTTATTGGCCCAACAAAGGCCCAGATAAGGGCCTTCGTAAGGGGTGGTAGAAAGCTACAGCGATGTTGTACCTATGTATTAGGTATTGTACTCGTAGATATTGAACTTTGTCCATTGCAGCAGCCACCACCCATCGATCGATTGCAGAACCATACAATGAGCGCCGGATATGTATAGCGGCACAGCATCCAGCAGGCGTCATGATGACAGAGCCATCTATTGGCAAAGACTAAAAACTGGTGTGTTGCGGCACAGCATTATTCAGGCGCGTACTATGCTGCCATCTATGGGAGAGCAGTGTAAACTAGCCTCATGCACCCAAATACACTTCCGGCATCGGGTGGCGACCTTACAGCCTCTCCGTGTCTGGAGATGCCGACATATGCGAACCCTGCCGTGACACCACGTATCTCCCTCTCTCCCTCGGCTGCCGTCAGGACCAGCAGTCGGAGTCGGGGCGGATGAAGTCGCAGCACGACCAGGCCGGCTCGGCGCACTCGTCACCGCTGGCCGGCCGGCGGCGGATGCCGGCCGCCGGACCGTCACGCGGCCACCCGCACCAGCAGCAGGTGCTAGTCACTGAGGAGAACCTCAGCGACAAGGAGGTCTACCCCAGCGGCTACATGTCGATCCCGCAGATCGGTGAGTCCCCCGCCCGCCGCCGGACGGCCCAGGCAGGCCATCGGGCGTCCGGGAATTAACTTGGAACGTACACGGGAAAACGATCGCCCAACAATGGGTGAAGTTCGCCCAACTCTCGAGCAGCCTGCCATGAGTTCCGAGATAACGCAGATATAGTTCGGCCGCCGGCCGTCGGCTCCGTCGGCCGTCGGAGCGGCACTGGCCGTCCAATCGAGCGCCGTATGTCTGTCGCCGACAGAAATCACCAAGGACTCGGCGAGCGAGGGCCGCGGCTCTGTGGACGCCAGCGAGGAGGACTGCGACCACCGGGGCCTGCGGGGTCGCCGGCGGGGCCCGGGCGAGCGCGGCCGGCCGCCACCGCCGCCGCCGCACGACCCGCGGCAGCAGCGCCACCGGCCGCCGCCCGCCGACCCCTACCGCGACAATAACTACGCCGGTACGTGATCAGACTATACCGGCTCCAGTTTAGATTTATTTTAGGTTGAGATTAATGTTATAATTAGCAATAAGACTTACACGGAGGTCTACCCCAGTCTACTAATACCCCGGTACACGTTCAGAGTTTTGACTGTTCTGATTCTTGATCATGCGGCCCCCGTTACATGCATTAAGACTTCCACTAAAGTTTGTGTTTCAATCGCTCGTGGATTGCAATTTGCAGACCTACAGCGACAGCGCGAGACCCGACTTTGCCGGCTGTCCGAGTTACATTATTTTTAAACGTAATTTTTCCTCTGAAGTGCACACTTCAACGGAAGATATTCCGTCGTTCCACGAAAGCTGATCAACGGTAGTGCATTAAAAGCACTCGTGTCTGTATACGGGCATCATTGTGGACTTGTTTTCATAAATTGCTCTGGAGTGCTCCCGGCGACGCGACCGCTGAGTATGTGGGCCGGGTGGTGTATACCGCGGCACTCTGGCGCCGGCTGGATTTATCTGCGGCTAGCAGACGGCTCCAGGTCGTGCATGAGCCACTTGCCATGCAGCCCCGGGGCCGGCTCATATTCCGGCGGCTGGCGCCGTCAGTTCACAGAACATCAGCATTCAGAGCGAGTATCGACGAGACTCAGAAAGAGGCGCCGTCCTGTCGCGCGTGCCTGTCTCATAGCTCTGAACCGAGCTCATATTATCATACCGGCCTCATGAACCGGTAAATCGCAAGTTTTGTGTTTGATTTAGTTTGTCTGGTGAACTGAAGCTTACTTCCATTTTGTCGTATCCGATCGCATTAATGACACCAAATGTGCATCTCTCAGTTAGTCTCCCCGATATCGTGGGAAGCAACACTTCGGTTTTGTATTTTTGTAAGTGACCTGTTCATTTTCACTTTTGCACCCTATCCATCATCGCTCTCAAGCCCAGTATCCCTCACACCGATCCCATTGCCCGTCTCTGCAGGCGGCAATCACCGGAGCGACGCGCAGAGCGGAGCGCCGCCGCCGCCGCGCCGCGCCGCCGGGCCGCGCGAGGAGCGTATGCGCATCTTCGTGGCTCTGTTCGACTACGATCCGCCGACCATGTCGCCCAATCCGGACGCCTGCGACGAGGAGCTGCCGTTCCGAGAGGGGCAGCTCATCAAGGTGGGCGAGTGGGCGCCGACAGCGGCGGCAGCGGGCACGTCTTTCGGCGGACTTAAAATAGATGCGGCTCATTTGGGGGCTCCGAGCTCAATTATAATATTTTGGGCGGGATGGTCATTCGTAGGCACTCGTTTGTTATAAATATCTGATGGCTTACGTTACAATTTTACTTTGCATTATTACGGAGCGAGCGAAGCGAGCGTAGTCTTTCCTTAGATTAACGGAAATTTCTGAGTATGAGCGGCCGGCCGGCCGGCCGGCCGTGGTCACGCTTTTGCGAGGCTTATATCTCAGCAACCACTTGACCGATTTACACGCGGTAATTTTTGTAGGGTAGCTTCATTCCTTCTACCAAGTATTGGACTATTCCTGATGCATGTGGGTGACCCCTTATGCACGTGCCACGTGCAAAACGAAGAGGTGTCCGTTTTGTAATTGTTGCAATATCTCGGTAACTACTTGGCCGATTGCGCTGAAAGTTGGCATGTAGGTAGGCACCCACTAGGCACTGCATATCCATGTGCCAGAGTTGGGGCGCTGCTGCACGTGCGCACGTGCAGGGGTCGTTTCCAGATCTCGAGAACGGCTCGACCGATTGCGCTCAAATTTGGTACACAGTTAGGGACCGGTTAGTAGGGTGCCGTGCAAAAGTCAGTTAGGACCCATTTTGCACGTGCGCACGTGCAGGGTGCCGCTTCCAGATCTCGAGAACGGCTGGGCCAATTGTGCCCAAATTTGGCACATCGCTAGAGACCGGTTAGTAGGGTGCCGTGCACAAGTCAGTTGGAGGTACCCCCTCGCAATTTCGCACGTGCAAGACCCACCCTCTCGCTCGCTCCGTTAGTCGCCCCAAAAGGCGTTATACTGGTCATATCATGTCGATGTTATGATCCCTAATTTTACATTCATTTTCCTTTCAGATATACGGCGACAAGGACGGTGACGGTTTTTACTGGGGCGAGGCGTCCGGCCGGGCGGGCTACGTGCCCTGTAACATGGTGTCGGAGGTGCAGGTGGACGACGAGCGGCTGGCGCAGGAGCTCCTCAAGGAGGAGGACCGGCCCACCGGTGAGAAACGGGATGAGCACGGGGGCGGGGTCGGGCAGAGGTAGCGGGACTGCGGGCTGTAGTTACGCCACGGGGAGGCCAGTTGGGGTGAAGTCGAACAGTGACACTTCTTTTGATTGAAGTGAGGATTGTGGAGTCAATTACATACGCTAGAATATTAGATGAGACTCAGTCAATGCATGGCGCCGATATCATGGCATCTGATTTTCAGGAGCTTAATTCCCCCAGGGTGACCTGGGACCGCCAAAGATCACGTGTCCTACCCGCCCTCTCCACAGCTCGGGGTCGTTCGGGCGGCGGCGGCGGCGGCGGCGGAGGTCGGCCCCGCAGCGGCCAGGAGGACCGCTGGGGCGACATCTACTCGAGCACGCCCGTAAGGCGCATGGTGGCGCTCTATGACTACGACCCGCAGGAGCTGTCCCCCAACGTGGACGCCGAGGTCAGTGACACTATGCAACTGTGACGCAGTAACTGTCACTGATGGTGGCTGTCGCTTGCAGAAGACCAGCCGTGGCTCGAACAGATGCATGGGATACGGTGTGACGAATGGCGTCATCCGAATTTATTCACCAGATCCTGGCAGGCATAGCAATCAGCAAAAGGTCGTCGGCGATCGGACTTTGGATTCTGAATAATTATTTCCGACAAAAGATCCCTTCATTTGGCTAGATAACACGAAATAATCATTAGGCTGCCCAACTGAGTGATTCGCCGCCTTTTGCGCCGTTGGCGAGCTATAATAGTTATTTTGGCGCTGATGGCCGTTGATTGTGTACGACATTTATTGAAAGTTATTCGTTGGCAATATCTGACGCTATTTTATCTGCCGCCAGGTGGAGCTGTCTTTCAATACCGGTGATATTATCCACGTATACGGCGATATGGACGACGATGGCTTCTATATCGGGGAGGTGAATGGAGTGCGAGGCCTTGTGCCCTCCAACTTCCTCACCGAGACGCCGCAGGTCAGCGGGTACAGGAACACGGTTTTACCCAATTTTCATTGTGCAAGTGCACAAATTGAAGGGTTTGACAGCGTGACTCTTCTTTCAGCTTGCCCAATGTTGCTCATTACACTGACTAAATGATTAAGTCTAACCTGACCTAGCCCCGTGTCCCCCTGTTTCCCGTCTGACCCGGCTCTGTATGTGCTGTGCACAGAACTACGACCGGCGCCGGGGCGGCCCCGAGGGCCCGTCGTCCTCGGAGCGGCGCGGTCCGCCGGGGCCGGGCGTGCACGGTCCTCCCCTGCCGCCGCGGGACAAGGGCGACAGTCGCGACCGACGGAAAGGTGAGGCCACTCCCGCCGAGACCTGCTCCCCTCTCCCCCTCCGTCCGCCGCCGCGGCAGTGCTCGGCGCCGCCTGCCCAAAGAAACGAGCGCTTGCGCGTGGACGTTTGTATGTTTGTGCATTGGCGTGCGTGAGCGTGACCGCACGCGTGTCTCCTCGTGACCCCGGTCCGTGAGGCGGGCCCGGCTCGGCTGCGAGACGGCAGAGGACCGCCAGCGTCGTCTCGGGCATGGCAGAGGAAGGTCGGAGCCAGGCCACCGCCCAACCAGCCCGATATGTGTGTTTGTGCACGCCAGAACAGCCCGAGCGTACAGTCGCCGAGTTTGGCCAACGCTGTGCGCGCGCGCAACTTGTGTTCCGATGACCTGTCCGCTGGGAAATGTAAACGCTGAGCATTGCTGTAGGGCGTAGTCGATTATAAAGTACTAGTAGGGGGTTAGTGGGCCATTTACCGTACCACGGGTGGAGAATTGTGCTGGACTGGGGGTGCTCGAGCTCTCCCAATTCCACGCCGGCTTGGCTTTGGAGCCGCGGCCGGGCGGCGCGGGTCAAGGCGGGTCAAGGTCACCGCTAGGCGGCGGCGGATTTGCTGCGCCCGAGCACCCCCAGCTGGTCACAATTCTCCACCTATGTACCGTACAGACCTCTTCTGTCGCTCCATTCTTTTTTATCTGTGCTCCACGGTCCCAACCTGGGACTCTCAGCTCCCTACTGTTGGTGTGCCCCACGCTGTCGCCTGATATATGCTGGCTCATATCGCTCTTTGCCACCGAGCCGATTCGGTCCCCCTCATTCTTAGTTTCCGGGTATCCTGACGGTACGCTTAGCTCCTTCTTCAAGTTCAAGTTCAGCGAGTCCTCGTCCGGTCCCGCTCCCGCAGCTCAGGTACCCAGAGTCCCACTCCCTTCCTCCGTTTATGGAGTAAATCCTCTTTATTGGGATACTCGGTGTGTCCAGTCTGTCTCACCAATTTCGTCACAAAGCGTACCTACTTGTTGCCCTGATAACGCCTCTGATAACGATTCCGCTGCCTCGGTCGACCCTCCTCGCCCTCTGTTGGTGTCGGGCGTATCACTCCCACCTTCAGTGTCAGCCCCTCCGTCCCCATATGAGTGTATCTGTCGGCTGGCGCTCTCTGGCTCTCTCCCGCCGCGCTCTGTGCCGCCCCTCCATCTCTCGGTCCCACTGACAGTGTGCTCTCGCTCTGTTTCTCCCTTTAGATCCTCCCATCTCTCACGTAGACATTAGACCCGATCTTGCCTCCGACCCCCCGGTAAGTCCGCTCAGTGCCGTCTTTCACTCTCTTTCTCACTCTGAACGCCTCAGCATGTCTTCGCCCGTCTGTTTCTTTCTCGATCCGTTTCTCTTTCTCTCTTTCTTTCTCTCCTCTCCCGCTGGCTCTGGCTGCCGCTGCACCCGCACGTCGCCTTCACCGTGGCACCTGTCTGGCCGCTGCCCCGCCCCCTCCCCGGATCGGCGGCCCGGCCCGCTCCAACCCCTCCCCCCGCCCCGCCCGGCCGTGTGCTCGCCCATGGGACAGACGGCGACCGTCGGCTGCCGGCGACGGCTCACCACTGTTTGAGAGCCGCACATTCCGAACTTTGTTCAACCTTTGTGCATAGCATTTTTTTCTTTTTAAACTGATCGATCGCATTGAATTTGCTGATGCATCCGCCCTTCATATGGCCCAAAACGGGTGGGATGAGATTACGCCTTCGCCACTTCACGCGCCTGTCTTCACTGCTCTCCTGGCTTTGGGGAGGGGTGGGACGGGCCACACCCGGTGCCAGCGCCCCACCCCGGCACCGTCTCAGTAGCTAGGTGAACACTGAGCCGGCCGACCCGCACCACACCACACCGCTAGTTACACACCTGTCTTTTCCGCCGCTAGGCTTAGGTGGTCTGTTGGGGTTTGTGGTGAGTACCCGGCGCTGCCACCAGGGCGGCGCCACTGCAGCGGCGGCGGCGCGGTGACGGGGTCACCCGGCTCGGCCGCCCGTCACCGCGCAGCGCCGGGCCGCCACTCTAATACATAGAGAGAATGTGGCCTGCGCTGAGACACGAGACTGGCGGCGTGCGAGCGAGCCCGGCGGGCGTCGGCTGCCGATAGTCACAGAGAGACAGCGATAGCGAGCCTGCTGGCTGCTGTACATAGACACGCCGCTCTGTTCTGGACGCTCCCCAGATGACGATCTGTCAGCTGTCGCATGGGAGAGCTCGGCAACGTCCGCAGCTCGGCCCATCGAAGTTCGGATGGTTTGTGGATATAATAGTGCATTGGTTTTTAAAATCAATCAAAGTAAAAGTACTACTTTACCCCGGTGTGGCTTACCTAAGCTGTGCTGCTGGGAGCGTCCTGTACGGAGCGGCTGGAACAAAACTAGAGGCCGATACGAGTAGGATGTAGAGATAGCCAAGCGCTGGGGTCCGCGCGAATAGCAACGGTTAGTGACCAAACAATAGTGACTAGTGAATGCCTCAGTTAGCTGCTCTGCACTCGCGGGTTGCACCGGGCCCGGGGGGGGGGGGCGTTCTCTCCAGACCGTCCCTCCACTGCAACTGACTGATGGCTGGGGCGCCCTGTGGCCGACTCATGCAGCATGCCCTGCGGGGGAGCGCTCCGCGCCGACCGACACTGGCCGCGGCGCCGCTCGGCCGCACTGCACAGGCCGCCCGCGCGCCGGCGCCGATTTTTGAGCGGTCGCTGCCGCGGCGAGCGCTGCGCATGTGGCGCAGCCCGTAGCCTGTAGACGCCCGCGGCACACGGCTAGCACGAGCTCTGTGTCGTGTCGGTAGTGTCGTGTCAATGTTCGTGTGCAGCATGGCCCGGCGAGTGCGGGCACACCCGAGGTGCGCTGCGCTCGGGGCATCACAGAAATGGACTCTCAAAGCGGAAATGATGAATGATCAATGATAATCGATGTTTGTGTACCTGCTAACTTGGAAATTGTGCCCATGGTTAAAGTTTATGGATACCTTACGCCGAACCTCCTGGAAATGAAAGCAATGCTATTCATATTGAAGCAGGATGGCCACCATAACCGACAAGTCACGCCGTGTTTCCCCCATATGATCTTTAGCTCCTGCAGCCCCTGTGCCGGCCGTGCAGGCCACTCTGACCGCCGGCGCCGCCCCGCCGTCCACAGACTCCCAGTCAGAGGCCAGAGAACGAGTCGGCGACGAGCGCGGCGTCGCCGGCCGACGCCGGCAGCGCTGGTAAGCGGCTGCCCAACGGCGCGCCGCCCGGCCCGGCCGCCGGCGCCGAGCAGCCGCCGTCCAAGACCGGCCTGCTGGGCGGCCTCAGCAGTCCGGGCGGCTTCATCAAGGGCCTGGGCGGCGGCCTGTCGTCGGCCGCCTCCGCCGCCCGGGTGCCCAGCTTCGTCATTCCGAGCGGCGGGGGCGCGGCCGGCGCCACCGCCACCGGCGAGCCGCCGCCGCCGGCCGGCGACTCGGCCGGCCCCAACCTGATGCAGAAACTGGGCGGCATGACGGGCGAGGCCGGCGGAGCCGTCGAGGGTATCATGTCCAAGGGCAAGGAGCTCATCTTCAAGCGGTTCGGCTTGTGAGAGCGGCCGGTCGCGCGGCGCCCGGGCCGTGCGAGTGATACTGGCGCCGGCCGCCCGCCTCCTGTACATATCACGGCCGACCGACGCCGCCGACGCCGCACGCGTACCGTTGTTGATCACGTGCTGATTGTTATGTTGGCGCAGCGCCGACTCACCGAACGCGCTCGGCGCACCAGTCCACGCCACCTCTCGGCTTTTCTCGTGCAAATCGTGCTCTTTCTCTTTCTCTCTTCATGGTGTCTCTTTACTCTGCCTCGAACCAGACGTGCCAACCCTGAGTGTGCGTGTGCGTGTGCGTGTGCGGTCTACCGGCCGGCCGCGCGCTGCCCGCCTCCCCAATATCGTGTCGTCAGTGTGTCGGTCAGTAGTCTTCATTTCATCGGCGCCGCTCGCCGCGATTGGGGCGTGAAATGCATTCCTCTCATACGTCAATATGTCATGTTACAGTGATTTTGAATAGTCGTACGAATAAATATTTATTCCGAGCGGAGTATGTGATCCAATCGTTTTGAGTCTTTGTTTGGGGCGAGGAGGACTTTCGATGGTATTGAAAGGTTGTTTCGCAAAGAATGTAGGTATTTATTAGATGCCCTGTGCACACACCGGATGAATGAAATGTTTCATGAAATCTATACGAGACGAACAGATAGTGGAGAACGCATTTCGTATGAATTCATACGCTCGCACACAACACGACCTTTCACAAGCGCAGGCACTTTCGAACTGTAACCCGTGCATTGAGGAGGGACCCTCAACGAGGTTTTAGGGTCTTGAGTGAGCCCAACAACGCCGATAACTTAAACCAAAATTTCAACCACGCAATGTGCCAGACACTCAGCAATCAGCATTCACGAAGGGCATTGCAACACAATGCATCTGAGGTCCAATCGTCGTAAGCCGTCTCAAAGTACCTTGCGAATAAACTGATGCCCTTAGCACTAAGAGCGCTAGAGCAGTTATAACGACAATTTGGAAAGCCGTGCGTCCAGACTCCAGAGTCGGTCACCTACAGCCGTGCCTGGTTTCCTGGCACCGCGTCAAGGGAACAAGGTGGTCTGTACCGAGAGGTTTAAAATTAAGATTGAGTCGACTGATATGCTGACATTTCCCTATAGACTTTAGTTATTACTGAACCTTACAAAGTTTGGCTTTCAGACGACGGCTAACCGTGAACCGAGGACAGCCGTGTAACTGACGATCATGCTTCACCTTAAACGAATAGTTCGAATCACCCTTTCATTTCCATTGTCCATGCAAAACAACCAACAATAATTTAACAAGGCCAGCGTCAATGAAAGTTAATGTAGGCAGTATCAAGCATAAATTGGCTACATTTCCTGATCACAGAGGCAGCAATTTCTTCTCAATAACGGCATCAACACTTCCCAAGCATCATGTATGAAGTGACATTACGAAACACTCTTGACACACTCAAATTCAACGTGCAACTTCGCTGTTTGTATGCACAATTCAACAACGCATATAACCACGCACAAATCGTGCCAAAGAAATCAGAAATGCACCACGTTACCTCAAACTGACGCCAAGCTAGCTGTTGGCCAAACACCATATCCTCTAGCGCCCAAATGAGAAAGTTAGGCTCACATCCTTTCACTGCACACCACCTTGAACAGGTGACATCTGTCTGTCAGCTCCCCCCCTCCCCCTCCCCGGTTTACGGTACCGCATCATGGAGTCTCCGGCGGACGGCGGTCAGCCCAGCTGGGGCAGCTTCTGCACGGCGCGCGTGATCTCGTCGATGGCCGGCGGCAGAGCGGCGGCCGGCAGCAGCAGCACGCGCCGGTACGGCGTCATCAGTGTGTCGCGGTCCGTCCACCGGCCGTCCACAGCCGTGTCCGTCTCCTCAGCCACGCTGAACTCGAAACTCGCCTCGGCCGCCTGCGGTGACGTGGCAGTGGTGAAAGTCGGGCAGAGAATAGAAATTTCTGTCAGGAAATTAGGATTATTAGCCCTCGCCGGCACAGCGGGGGGGGGGGCTGATGCAACTTAGGGGGTTCCCCCTAATGTTTTTCGCGAATAACTCACGTAAAAAGCGTCGATCGCGACGAAACTTTCAGTACCCTCGCCTCGCATTGATCAATTTTACACCAACCCTGAAAATTGCATGACCCTGACCCAAATGACCTTTGACCTACTTTCCGAGACCATGTTTGGCCGGAATCGCGATTCGGCGTTTGTTGGCTAGAATTAGCCGCGCGTTTGGAAGCTTTTTGTGGTTTCAAACGTTCAAACATGTGATTTAATGTTGCTCCCATGCATTAGGGTGAATGTCAAGGTCTCCTAAAGGTCAGATAAGGTCATTGACCTTTGGTGACCTCGGTTCATTTTTTCGTGTTTTACGTGTTTCTAGGCTAGTTTTTTTTTTTTAGCTGAATTCGAATTTAGCAACCATATGAATATTTACGAAGTAGTTTTGGTGCCTTCGTAACATGCTACCAAGCTGTCAGAGGCGGTTGACACCTACTCTAGGAATACCCGGAAGGACCCCTAGGTACTGATTGACCTGACCTGACCTGACCCGAGCTGGCCTAAATGCTTAAAGACATCATCTGTGACCAAAACTAACACGATATTCGTGATCAGCACCCAGCAAAAACCCCAAAGCAGCCGCCAGCCACACTTTACGACTTTCTAACAGGTCCGGATTTTCCCGACTTTGAGGTCATTGACCTGACCTGGAAGGTCAGCCGATGACCTAGGACCTTAAAACTGGGTATCATCGGCTTCCTCTCGTGACGGGCAGCACGCTCGTTTTTTTTTCGCGAAGCTCTAGCTCGATCAGAGGCAAACACGAGGGGGTTCCCCCTTGTGCCGTGGAAAGAGGCAAAATAGCCTGTGGCGGCGAGGGTTAGGAATATCGTAATGCGAATAACCGTTATGTTTATTCTCATTGTGCATTTTTTTTGCTACATTAAGTGGAAAATGAGTCATCTAAATAAATCTACATTAATTGAGCTAGTAGAACCCGAACGTTCCAGTTAGTTTCTAGTTAGTAGTTAGTAAAATTCTACTTAGTGGAACATTCTAGTTTTCCATATCAAATAATTTTACCAAACAACAAACCAGCACTGACAGCCAAAGACCGCTGTCAAACTTCACTGACCTTGTCGAATATTTCGTCCTCGCCGTTCATCCAGACCGGCTCGGCCTGTGTCCGGTCCTTTTTCTTGCCCTTGCCCTTGGGCCGGTGCAGCTTGGAGATCAGCACAAAGTGCGAGAACTTGAACGGCATGCTCTTCTTGGCCGCTTCCTCGATCTCATCCCTGCGTGAACACGGTACAATGAACTGTGTGCAGTGTCCTTCGCTATAGCGATACACAATAGCACAATCATGATCCGACATTCATTACATAAACCATTTAGTTATGAAAAACCAATGATTGGCGTAAACGTGTTCGCAATTTCACAGTGTCAATGTGCAGAACAAGGCCGTTTATCGGACAAAGCTAAGTTTGACGCCATTCAGTTCAAAGCTACAGCAACGCCGCATCGCACGCCATCGAGGGATATCCGCCTACTATGGACGTCAAACCCCTTGAGACCCCACTTTTTTGCGATAATTTTGAAATACGTGAACTGTCGTTGACGATATTCTGGCAATGTGTGTTTCAGAACCTGCCGAAACTTTTATTACTAAGGTATTTTGACGCCAAGCAATTATGAAAGGTACTTCTCATTCACTCGTAATGTTAAATTTCACGAAACGAATCTCCTGTTTGGGTAAAGGCTACGCACTCATGGGGCGGAGCCACGTAATGAAGTCAGCGCTAAGCTCCGCCCTACCCCTCCGGCGCTCCTTGCCCGGCGACCGGTCACTCGCGTCTCTCGCTCCATTCAGGCTTGATGGTGGGCGGTAGCTGGTAGCAGTAGCGGGCGCTGGTAGATGACATTAAGAGCAGATGGCGCTGGTGGCGGGCTCGAGTATGGTCGAACGCAAGCCTCTGCCCGGGCCTGAATTGACCTTAGCATTACGAGTGAATGAGAAGTACCTTTCATAATCGTTTAGCGTCAAAATACCTTTGTAAAAAAAAGTTTCGGCAGGTTCTGAAACACACATTGCCAGAATATCGTCAACGAGAGTTCACGCATTTAAAAATTATCGCAATAAAGTGGGGTCTCAAGGGGTTTGACGTCCATAGTAGTGTGGGGGCGTCCGTCAGCCTATCTGTGGCCTCAGCGATGTCATCAGCCCAACTGTGACCTTGGGTCATCAGCCCACCTGAGCGAGGTCAGCAGCGGCACGCAGATCTGCAGTGGGATGTTGACAAAGCGCTCGTTGAGCAGCAGCGCCGTGTGCTCGGTGGTCGAGGAGAGCGCTGCATCCAGCTTCAGCTGAACGTCGCGCGCCGCGCCGGCCGACTTACAGCGCGATAGGAGCGTCTGTTTCAGCTCCTTCACCGCGTCCGTCTCCTGAAAACCCACGGCGGGTCACAGTGCGAACCACAGCGTCGTGTAGCCGTCTCATCGCACACCGCAGTCAGACGGTACACGGCGGACACACCGGCCTATAGGTCCGATGCTGTTGGTGGAACCTTACCCGCCGCTCGGTGAGGTTGATGACGGTGGTGACGCCGTACACCTCCTTGTCACTGTCGGCATCCATGGCGTCATCGTCGTCATCGTCGGCGTCCGGCCCCTCGGGGTCACATTGCTGCGAGACAGATACCGACGCAATCGTCAGCTAGGGATCTATGCGATTTAGTTAGGCCCATAATGAGACAAATAAATGCCCAAACTTTGAAATTAATGGCCACTTC